ATTTTAATGCAGTCCTTCAAGGGTTAGGAGCAGGAAGAGTTAGAGGTGCAGTGGCAAAGACTGGTGTCACCCCTCAGATGCCATCACTGACCCCTCTCAGGGATCCAGCAGCTCATCCTCAGAAATGTGGCATCACTGCTTGGCAATGGGATGTCCTTCTGGAGCACTAGGCGACACCATGGGCAGCAGAACAATGTCATTTTTGAGTTCCTTTTGTGTTCACCAACCATGGCAACGTGACTCCCACGTCCCCAGAGGAACTCCAGCCACTCAACACTGTGACACATCCAGGCAATGTCTGCTCTGACTGGCACTGAGAAACTGAAGAGCTTCTTACCCCATGAAAAAGTCCCTGACAGCTTTCCACAAAATGACAGAGAAATCAAAAATATCCAAAACTCAGCATGTTCTGCAGCTCTGGTGCCTCAGCTCCCTCTCGTTTCCCATTCCTTCTCTGTCAAATGGATATAAGAAAGCAGAAAAATGAATTCTAAATTCATCTCCTGCTAAGCCCTGATCAAAAACAGTTACTCTTCTCAGCCCTGCATGGTTTTGTCTCTTGTCTCCTTGCTCCTGTCTTCTACCAGTTATTTGACATTAATTAAATAGAGATCTAGGCTGGCCCTAGTATATAAAGATAAACCTCAGTCATAAGCAACTTAGGTTGAAGTTCAACAGCAATCAGAGTCCTGTAACCTTAGCTGCAAGTAAAATAAAACTTATAGGTTTGGGAGAAAAAAGAAATTACTTCTACTTTCTGATCAACCTGTCTTGTCTCCTGATTTCTCTTATATGATGCTCTGCAGAAGTACATGGTTGTCTGAGTATTTTTTCTTCTTCCTCAGTCGTATCATAACAGTGACACTACAACAGAAATTACTAATAAAACAATGCTATTGTCCATTGATTTGGCTTAGATCCTCAGTCAAACAATGACAGCCTATTCTAAAATACTGTATAGAGGACAAGAATCAGAACATAGAAAAACCAAGGAGATTCCTTCATTAATCTGAATCCCCACCTTCTCCCCCAGTTTTAGAGTTGGTCATCACTATTAAACTTACATTAACCAATCAAAATTATTTATACAAGTGTTGATTTTAAATCAGAGCCTTTTCCTAGAGATTCTGTTTGTGTTCTGGAGCTTTTCCAAATCAAATGGTTGTCACTGCAATTTTATTTTTTCTTCTTTGTTGCTATGCAAAATAGAAATAGCTTTGTACTACACAACACCTCATCACAGAAGTCAGTAAAAAGGCAATGTGTGACTGTCCTCCTGCAGGCATATCTTTAAAGGATATATTCATTAACAGGGGAAAAGGTGGCCTTGCCTGGAAATCAGCTCAACCTGTGAGCAAAGAGGTCTGAGACCAAGGACACCTCCACAGAGGAGAGGAATACCTGGGCACCAGATTGGTACCATGGACTGATTCATATAAAATTTACTATTTGTCAAAGAAAAGAAAGAAATTAGATATCCCTATTAAGAAAGGCAGTAGCCCTTCCTGGATGAGGCTTTAATTGCAGAGGTTCTCTCAGCACAGCCACCACCACATCTCCGAGGACGTGCACTGCGTGCTCCCTCTACAGCAGAGCGAGAGCCTAGAACTGATGAATTTTTCATCCCATCCTCATTGGCCATTCATTTCCATTTTACTTTTATGTGCTTTATTTAAGGTAGACAACACAAGTCTCCCAGAGTAACAAAAGCATGAATTTCACTTATCTCAGCAGGCCTAACAGCTTTCTTCACTCACCAACATGCATTGAAGCCCACAGAAATAAATCCAGTTCCTAAAATGTTTTCAGTGATTCAGCTCTGAGCCCCAATAGAAATGACATCAAACCCAGCAGCACCTATTTTCTGACAGATCCGGGGAAAAGGGGCTTTCTTTGCAGAGGGGTGATGGAAGAAGAAAAAAAAAGCATATAGAAGAAAAAAATCAACAGGAAAGCCAAGAAGAAAGAAAGAAATCAGACACCAGCCAGCCCCTCAGAAGCTGGTGAAACTGTTGTAAATGTGTGTTTTTAAAGCTCAAGGAAGCATTGCCCATCCCCACATGCAAGTGGTCACCTGGAGGCAACAGCAAGGGCCATTGAGGCCCACAAGGGGATTTTTTTTTCGCACCTGTAGTGAGAGAAAAGAGCCATGAGTTGCTAAAACAACAAAAAAACAAAGCACACACTGGACATTGGGCACTCAGATGAAGTTTTTGCTTACAGACCACCTGCCCTGCATGAAGAGATTTGCAATTGCAAAGAAGAAATCAAGAAAGAAGAGTTGCAAAGAGAACAATCAAGCACCTGAAGAGCCCAGCTGTGTGCCAGCAGCACGTGTGCTTGGAGATAAAGGATCTGTATATCTATGCCATGAAACACCTGTGTCTCTCTTGCTGGGTACCCAAATGGTGTGGGCTCTGCCAGCCACATGAGACCCCTTGAGTGGGCTAAGGAGAAGGAGGCAGAATCCCTGCCAAGATAAGCAAAGTGCAGCCTGCATCAAAAGCATGGGACTCACCCATAACTTGTGCAGAGCTGGAGCTGCTGTGGGTCCCCAGAGTGCTGGGGACAGCAGGCTGTGGTGGCTGATCCTACCTCAGCCAGGAGCAGCATCACTCTGGATCTCTAGAGAAAGCATCCAGGAAAAACACCATTTAGAACTGATAAGGATATATAAACTCTGGACAAGACATTAATTTCTCCAGGAATCTTTTTTCCTCATTACGCCACAGATGCCGAGCATCACCTCCTTACCCAAGAGGGTCCTGATGACATCACATCCTCCCCAGGGAGTGACAGAACCACCCAAGCCAAATGACAAAGATCTCCTCAGCTGTGCTGCACCAGCCCCAAGC